GAATCCCAGCCAATAGCTCGAAACCCGCGCGCTGGCGACCCCCCGCTACCAGGACGCTCGTGTTCTGCTGGTAGATGGCCGCGACAAAGCGGGGCACCCAGACAGGTAATCCGACCGCGGCCAGCGAGTCCTGGAGATAGGTGCTCGACGTGTGCGAGACGCTCAGGAACGCGGCCTTAAAGTCGAAGAAGACGGCCGCGCCGTGCTCCTCGCACAGCGCTGCCCGCATCATCGCCAAGTCCACGTCCAATACGTTTGCGAGCATGGGTCTGCCGCCAGCAAAGCCCCTCTGCATTTGGGAAATCCACAACGCAAGCAACGGTTCTATGAGAAGGCGCACGGCCTTCGCCAACAGTCTTTTGTCGCAGTTGACTATGTTCAATGGCCTCGTATCCCCAGGGTCATAAAAGTCGCCGGCGGCCTCGTCATGGCCAGACGGTGTCTTGGGCACGAAAATCCTGAGGCTGCTGTTGGCGCCAAACCCGCGGTAGGCCCGCACAGAGATTCGCCCAGCGCTGCGGCGGGCGCGTCCTCCGAAACCAAACCTTGTAGAGCGGCGTAAAGCACATCAGTAGCAAGAGGCCCGAACTCACGCCATGCCAGGAAGGGTGTGCCATCAGGTCCGGGCGATGAGTTTGGCGAGGCTTCCGCAGCGGCCAATACGTCCTCGCGTCGGGGGATCCATTCGGGACTGTCCACGGGGGGCAAGCGACCAGAAACTGCATCTTCCTGAAGCCACTGCTCCAGCAAGCGGCGGTCCACGCGGCAGGAAGCGAAAACCGCCGACCAGTGGGCGCGAAGAGCGGCAGCCATCTCTCCAGGGTCTGTCAGGACTTGGCCGCGAGCGTTGCGAACTGCGGGAAGTGCCGTTGACTGGCCGGGGGACAGGCGCCGAAGGGTCTGGAACAAGCGCTCTCGACGATTGTTGTGTTCCTCAGAAGCGCGAGCTCCTTGGCCATGAAGGTCCGCCAGCTGGTCAATCGCTGCCTCCCGTGCGAGTTCCACGGCGTGCTGGCGGAAAGCATGAAGGCCGGCGCCACCGCAGTGCACCACCTCCATGTCGGCAACGAGCGTGGCCAAATGTGGGCAAAGCTTCAAGCAGCGACGCATGATGCCTGCGCGGCCGCCCTCTGCCGCGCGCTCGAAGCGCATGGTGTAGCCAACTGTGTCGTCTGCCTCGAGGACCTCGCTGGCGTCGCGCCCCCTCTCCAGGGACATGCGATCCGACACCGTGCGAATTGCGATCTTGAGCTGCACCAGCCGTCGTAACGGGCACTCTGGCGGGGGATCAGCAGCCACCATGTCGTGGAATTCTGAAGCCACCCTCCCAGCCCAGCTGGGGTCTCGAAGAATCGTAGCCGGCACAGGGCGAGGCCCGTCGCTCGTCCGCGGCGGCCGAAAGCCACAGCCCTGTGCGCCGAAAGGTGCGGGACCCATTTCAGCGGAGCGCGAAGATGTAAATGTCGAGCTGCTCGGACACCGACTGGTTCCAACAAGCGCGGTCAAGCCGTGACCGCGCTGCAGCGTTGTCGTGGGTCATGGCGGGCTGACGGACCTCGTTAAAGCCCGAACGGTATACCCAGTACGCTTTGAAAACGCCTCTCGTCTCCGGCATCTCGGTGCCCTGTATACTCGGCCGTTGCTTTCGTGCATCGGTCCCGTGAGTCCGCCACCCAATTGAAGTCGCCAGCCATGACAGAAAGCACGGGACCCCCCAGGCGCCATAGCCCTGGCCAGCCGCCGTCGCATGTCTTCGCGCTGTCTGCGCGCGTTTTGTTCCAGAATGGCAGGCGCCTGAGCACCGCGAGGCTGCGCGGCATCAGAGGCGCTGGAGGCTGCGAAGTACAACGTGTACAAGTCGAGCGATCCCATTGGGCCAGCAAGGCGAAGCACGCCGGCCCGGCCAGGCACCAGCTCTTCCCACCGCGTCATGGCGGGATCGAAATTCCGTAAGAACGATTTCTTGACTATGAACTATAATTCCGACCCCTGCCTGCCGAGAAGTCCCCGGCGAAAACCAAGCCTTGCAATCCTGAGGAAGACCCCACGACATGCCTTCGCCCTCCAAACCGTGGGTCTCCAAGATAAAAACGAAGTCCCGAGCCCGCAACAGCCGTCGCACACAGAAATCCTTCTCGTAGTGGCGGCTGCGCTTTCGTGCGAATAACGCCTGGGCGTTCCACGCTGCCCCGTGCAGCTCCCCGCAGAATGGCGAGAGGGACAAGCCTGAAGGCTCGGCCGAAGGCTCGGAACCGCCAGGCGGGTTCTCACCAGGAGCGCGGGCTGGAGGGCAAGGCATTCGCCGGGCGCGGAGCCGCGGAGCAGGTCGCGCCGGAGGCAGCGACGGTAGCTGAGCAGTCGAATGAACAGCATTACCGACAACATCACCTGCAGGTAGAGGTTGGCCGGCACAGAGTGCAGCAGAGCGTACACGAAGGAGCCTGGGAACACTAGGAAGAAGGCAGAAAGGGATATCGCCGTGATCGACACGGCGGACGTGCAGTGCGAGGTCAAGCAACCAATAACGCAACCCATACTGGGTGAAGACCTCAATTGGCAGCCCTGCCTCTGTCACGCCGGGCTGCGGGAGGGCAGGCGCCCGCTCGCCGCGGGGGCGGGGCCCCGGCCCGCCCGCCCCCGCCTGCTGTTTCCCTGCTGCCTGTCCAGCTCGTCGTTGGCCACGCTCAAGCTGACCAGGTCGGCACCCAGTTGGACTGCCCAGCCGTGCACCTGCTCTGTGATGAGACGAGCGTCATCGAGAGAAGCCAGATGAAGACGCACGCGGCCAGGGTGCGAGGAGGGGTCCTGATCTGCAAGACGATCCCACGTGCCGATCCCCGCCTCGTCATTCGTAGTGGCCTCGCGCAGGTTTACTCCCGTACACGTCACCTCCACCAGCAGGGCGCTGTAGTCGGTATACAGCGACCCTACGACCACGCTTGCCGGCAAATGCCCATGGCGGAGGTGCCGGATGAACAGGCGAACGTCTAGCTCGGTGGCGCGGCCGATCGGCAGGAAGACCTCGAATCGAGCTCGTGGCAAGTCAAGCGCTGACGCCGAGCTCCGCGCCAGAGGGCCCAAACGGGCCTGGAGCCACCCTCCCTCCTTGACTACAGCAGCCATCGCCCGCGGGACCTCCACCACCGGGCAGTCAACGAAGAGGGAATGACCGACGCTCGATGAGAGCAAGGGCTAAGCCACAGTGAGAACTTTCGGGATGGCTGGCGGGAGGGTTGGGGAGATCGTGGCAATGAAGAGGCCCTTGTTGGAATTCACCGGGCCCCCGCTCCCAGACGAGACCAAGTGCATCTTCTGGTGGATGAAAGCTTGTTCGCGTACGACGTGGGCCCAATGAGCGCCCATCAACGGATGCCAAAATAAGTCTTTGATCATGCTGGCCGTGGAGCATCCAGGATGCACATCAAAAACATCAATAAGTCGGAGTGAGGGGACCTCTGGAACAGCGGCCGCACGACGCATGCACCCAGACAGCAGGCGACCAAGGGCACGTTGGTCGGACGGAGCCCACATCACTGTGCCGCCTGTGCCGAGCAGCTGCAAGAAGTCCTTGTCCTCCATGGCCGTCTGAGCGAGTAGACGAGCAGCCTCTGAGACAAGCAATCGAAGGTGCGCCTCCATGGCCGCTGGGAGCGGCAACACATTGGAGAGCCGAGTGGCCACGAGCTCTCCATCGGAGGCCGCAGAGCTCCGCAGGAACTCCACAGCAGAAGCCCCCGGCTCTTGCCGACGAGGTAGTAGCGTCGCCACGGGCGCGACGACGAGCGGCGAGCACCCGAGGGAGATCCGCCACGCAGTGCTCGCAGGCCTGCTCAGGGCGAGCCCGCGCATCGCCGGCAAGGTCTCTGTCTGGTTCTGGCCAGCGGGGCTCGAGGTAAACAGTGTTTTCCGTTTTCGTTTTGTTTTCTTCATCCCTAGTTCTGTCTTCGTTCCACTTTTGCTGCAAAAAGAAATCAAAACGAAAACGGTCCACGAAATTGCCAGAACACCGTTTAGCTCTAGCCCTGCTGGCCAGTCCCCGGAAGGTGAGCAAGACAAGAACAGCCGGGCCCGCGACCATCGGCGCTCGATGCAAGCTAGGTCTGGTGCTGGGCCCTCCATCGGCTGAAGGCCGAGACGCGCCCACTTGTCGTTCAGCTCCGCCCCGAACGCCAGAGACGCCAGCAAAGCGCGCAGCGGCGGCCACCCAGTGAGGGATGACCTGGCGGGAAAGCCGTCGGAGCTGACTGGGTGGTGACTGAGCTGACTTATCAAAGAAAGAATTCGCCAGCCCTACAGAAATCTGGCCCGGGGGACAGGTTTACCTACTAAAAGAGAACCCTGGGCCTACGCCCTTTCCGGGAAAAAATGACGGTGAACCAAAAACGACTTAGGCGCAGAGGCCAACTGGTTAGGCAGAAATCTAGCCAGTGCGGGAAATTGAATGGCAAAGAGTGCAGGTAAAGTGCATGGGCCCGCGGAGGCACGGAGCACAGAGTAACTACGCAGGCTGCCGGTGCCCCTGCTCCTGCTCCCCTATTCCTCTCTCCTGTTCCCCCTGCAGTCGGCCTTGATTGGACAGGACACGCGAGATGACACAAGACCCTTCCAAGGGCCACATTGCCATGGGGGATGTAGGAGGCATGGGTCGCGAGGCACAGGACACAAAGGTACCCTCGATTTGGCAGGGTCGACCTACTAATCCGGGCCGACTGCACTCCTCCCTCCGCAGCCGCCGAGCACAGCCCCCAAATCCACTGACGCCACACCTGGCCGGCGCGCGCGCCTCCAGGCCTCGTCGCGGGGGTCCACCCGCTCCGGAGGGGTGGGAGGGAGGAGGGATGCCACTTTCTGACCATCCTCTACCCTGAAGCCATCGAGAAGAGGAGGAGGAGGTCTGTCGAGCGGCTGGGCCACTCAAGAAGTGGAGCCTCCTCCTCCTCCTCCTCCTCCTCCTCCTCCTCCTCCACGCGCCCGCTTTGTTGGCGGAGGGGAGGCCCCGCCTCGCCCGGCGGCTCTGGCCGCATGCCCCGGCACTCGCCGAACGGAGGCTCCGCGGCCGGCCCGCGCTCCTGCAGGGGGGGCAGGGCGTCCGCCTGCGGGGCCACCTCGGGGGGAGGGCCGCCTCTCTGGCCTAAACGCCACATACCTCCTCCTCCTCCTCCTCCTCCTCCTCCTCCTCATCCTCCTCCTCCTCCTCCTCCTCTCCCTCCTCCCCCTCCTCCAACTCCTCCTTCCCCTTCTCCAACTCCTCTCCCTCCTCCGTCAACTCCTCCTCTCCCCTCCTCCTCCTCCTCCTCCTCCTCCTCCTCCTCCTCCTCCTCCTCCTCCTCCTCCTCCTCCTCCTCCTCCTCCTCCTCCTCCTCCTCCTCCACCTCATCTCTCGTCGCTCTTTCCTCTCCCGCCTCCCTCCTCCCTGCTTCCTGCTCCGTGCTCCCTGCTCCCTGTCCTCCCCGCCCTCCCTCTAGCCCCTCTGACCCCCTCTCTCAACCTTCCCCTCTCCACCCTTTCCCCCTCCACACCGCCCCCCCCTCCCTCCCGCGGGGGCGTCCACGAGGGGGGCTCGTGAATCATGGCCGGAGGCCCGTGCGGTGACGAGTGGCAGGCCAGGGGGCGCGTGGACAGAAGAACAGGGGGCCATGACATCCGGGGGAGATACCATGGCCCCAGCCATGATATCCGCCCTCCCTGGTCAGCACCCCCCTCTTCGCCGACCCTGACCACCGACCACCACTTCCCCCTGTGAACTTCCCACCCCCCTTCCAGAGGAGGGGCGGTGGGAGGAGGGAGGGGAATGGGCAGCAGACGGAGGAGCGGAGCGAGGAGCGATGCCCGAAGCCGATGTCTGCAGATCTGAGGAGGGGCGGGGGGAGGAGGGAGGGGAATGGGGAGCAGGCGGAGCAGACGGAGGAGCGAGGAGCGATGCCCGAAAGCAGTGTTTGCAGCTCTCGGCGCCTGGAGGCCCGTGCGGGGCCGCTTGGACCGCTTGTAGAGCGAGCTGGGCTAGGAAACTGGCTGGATCCTGGGCGGGGTGGACGTCGAGGTTCGAGGTCCAGCGGTCGAGAAGCACGAGGAGGTATGGGGTAGGGGCAGGAGAGCCCAGAATCGAATCGATAAGTCGGATCGGCAATCGAAATTATCGGATCGGCAGACATCGGCAGCCGAGTCGGGAAAGCCGAATCGGCAGACCTCGGCAGGCTAGCAGGCCTCCAATGATAAATCTGATCCCAAATCGGAATCCGAAATCGAATCGAATCGGAATCGGAAGGCATCGAAATCGAATCGAATCGAATCGTGGGGGGGTGGCGGAGGACGCAGCCCTTCGAATGTTGCTATGCTCTGCCGCGCTTTGTCCTCACTGTCACTGTTCTGCGTCCAAGGGCCGTGGCCAGGCCCTGGGCCGGCCCATCTGAAGGAGGAGGAGGAGGATCGCGGACGACCACCCCTGAGGAAGGGGTCGAGTCATCTGGGGCCCGCGCATGGAAACAATCAACGCGTCGGACTCCAGGGGAACACAAGGAAGAGCGAGGATCTTGTCTTATGTCCACGTCTTTCGGCTCCTAGGGGGTCCAAGGATGTCTCGTGTCCACGGCTAGATTCCCAATGAATCTCTGATTAGAACGCGCCCCACGAGAGTACGGGAGCCGATTCTGATAAGAGAGGACAAGGAGTGGAGGGGGGAGGAAGGAAGGGAGGTAGGGATGAGAGAGACAGGGCTGGAGGCAGACGGAGGAGGGCGGGAGGGAGGGCGACGAGGAGCGAGGAGGGATTGGGAAGAAATTCGGAGAAGAGGTGGCCTTGGGCACAGCCGCCTTCAGGCCCGCGGCTCCGTGGCCCATCCACCCAGCGGCCCCAGGCGCATGGGCACCGGAGCCCTTGGGCCATCCATGGCAACGGGTGCGGCCATCCTTCCTCGTCCATCACCTTTCATGTGTGTTGCTTTCCTCCTCCACCACCTATGACTATCCGTTTGTCCTCCCTGCACTGGTACATGTTCCGTCCTCCGTCTTCCAACTGCCCCCGCAAGGACAGATGGCCGTGTTGTCGCTCCTTTCCGCTCTGTCTTCTCCGTCCTCCGCTCCGCTGCTCCTACGGCATGCGTCGTCCGTCCTCCGCTTCCAGGGGAGCGAGGATGAGGGAGAAGGGGACGAAGAAGGGTGGAGGAGGACGAGGAGGAGGAGGAGGAGGATAAGAAGGACCAATGTCGACCCAAGACGCACCAATGATGTTGCAATACATCCTCCCTCCATGTTCCCTCTTCTTGGAAGCTGGGCGAGGGCTGACAAATCCGTGGCTGCTAAAACGATCTTCCCGGAAGAAACATGATCGACCCACGAACCCGGAAAGGAATATGGAAAATGTAAGACATGGCAACGTTTCAAAAACACCTGATTGGGCGACGGGCAAATGTAATGCTGAGTGTATCGATCTTGATGTAAGGTGCCGAGGGCTGTGCTGTGCTGAGCCGTGCTGAACTGCGATGTGCCATGCCGCGATTGTGCTTTATAGCGTTGTGAGTCGAGTCCTCATTTGCATCCGAGCCCTGACCGAACTGAGCTCGATCTTAAGCTCGAGCTGCCTGAGCACATAGTAGCTGCCCCAGAGCTAATTCACAGGGGGGCATGCTAGGAAGACGCGCCGCGGAAAGTTCCAAGGGACGCGCCAGGCGACGTGCCAGGGGACGTGCCATGGGGACGCGCCGCAGGACGTGCCAAGAGGACGCGCTACGGACCGTGCCAATGGACGTGCCACGGGACGCGCCAAGGGACGCGCCGCGCGACGTGCCAGGGGGACTCGCCACAGGACGCGCCACGGAACGTGCCATGGAACGTGCCAGGTTGCAAGGCTGAGTGAGTGTATCGATCTTGATGTATATACTGTGCCGAGGGCTGTGCTGTGCTGCGCCGTGGTGAGCTGCGATGTGCCATGCCGCGATTGTGCTCTATAGTGTTGTGGATCGAGTTCTCCGTTGCATACGAATCCTGACCGAACTGATCTGGATCTCAAGCTCGAGCTGCCTGAGCACATAGTCCACATAGTAGCTGCCCCAAAGCTAATTAACAAAGGCACATGCCAGGAAAACGCCAGGAAAACGCGCCGCGGAACGTTCCAAGGGACGCGCCAGGCGACGTGCCAGGGGACGTGCCACGGGGACGCACCGCGGGACGTGCCAAGGGGACGCGCTGCAGAACGTGCTGAGAACAAGCGTCGTGCTGGTGGCCTGGACACGTAAAAACACGAGGTGCCAGCTCGGGACAACCATGTTAGATACCCCCCTTGGGTGGCCTGGACACGTAAAAACACGTGGTTCCAGCTCGGGACAATCATGTTAGAGATCTCCCTGGGTGGCCTCAGCATTGAAAAAAAACACGTGGTTCCAGCTCGGGACAACCATGTTAGATACCCCCCTGCGTGACCTGGATACGCTGAATTCGCGATCCCGCTCGAGACATCCTCGCAATGTCTTCCCTGGAGAAGCCCAAAGCGCAACCCCCTGTTCAGAGTAAAATAACATCACTTTTCTGTTTTGGGACATGTGTTCGGGTAGCGCTTTTCGGCCCCCCGTGCGTTTCCTCATAATTTGGCGTTGGGCCCGACGCCATGTTGGATACCCCCCTGGGCGGTCTGGACACGCAAAAACACGTGGTTCCAGCTCGGGACAATCATGTTAGATATCCGAATGGGTGGCCTGGACACGTAAAAACACATGGTGCCAGCTCTGAGCAACCATGTTAGATACACCCTTGGGTGGCCTGGACACGTTAAAACACACGGTGTCAGCTCGGGACCACCATGTTAGATACCCCCTCTGGGCGGCCTGGACACGTAAAAACGTGGGTTCCAGCTCGGGGCACCCATGTTAGATACACCACTGGGTGGCCTGGACATGTTAAAACACGTGGTCCCTGCTCGGGACAACCATGTTAGATGCCCCCCTGGGCGGCCTGGGCACGTAACAACACGTGGTGCCAGCTCGGGACAACCGTGTTAGATACACCCTTGAGTGGCCTGGACACGCTAAACGACGTGGTCATCGTGTTGGATACCGCCCTGGGCGGCGTGAATACGCATCGCAGAATAATTTCGCCGGCCCTAGAGCCGTCGGGACCGGGGGGGTCACATACAAAAAGAGAACCCTGGGTCTACGCCGTTTCTGGGGAAAACACGTGGTTTCAGCTCGGGACGACCAACACTACATAGTAGCTGCCCCAGGGCTGATTGACAGGGGAGCATGCTAGGAGGACGCGCCGTGGAACGTTCCAAGGGACGCGCCAGGCGACGTGCCAGGGGACGTGCCACGGGGACGCACCGCGGGACGTGCCAAGGGGACGCGCTACAGAACGTGCTGGGGACAAGCGTCGTGCTGGTGGGCTGGTCACGTAAAACACGTGGTGCCAGCTCGGGACAACCATGTTAGATACCCCCTGGGTGGCCTGGACACTTAAAAACACGTGGCTGCAGTTCGGGACAATCATGTTAGAGATCTCCCGAGGTGGCCTGGACATGCAAAAACACATGGTTCCAGCTCGGGACAACCATGTTAGATACCCCGTGCGTGGCCTGGATACGCTGAATTCGAGCTCCCGCTCGAGACGTCCTCCAACGTTTTCCCTGGAGAGGCCCCCAAAGCGCCACCCTGTGTACAGAGCAAGAACATAATAATTCTCTGCATTCGGATCTGTGTTCAGTTCGCGTTTTTCGGCCCCCCGTGCGTTTCCTGATTTTTCGGCAATGGGCCCGACGCCATGTTGGATATCCTCCTTGAGCGGCTTGGACACGTAAAAACACGTGGCTCCAGCACAAGACCACCATGTTAGATGCCCCCTCTGGGTGGCCTGGACACTTGAAAACACACGGCTCCAGCGCAGGACCACCATGTTAGATACCCCCTTTGGGTGGCCTGAGCACGTGCGAACACGTGATTCCAGCTCGGGACCACCATGTTAGATACCCCCCCGGGTGGGCTGGACAAGTGAAAACACGTGATCCCAGCTCGGGACCACCAAGAAATATACCCTAGCTCGGGACCACCATGTTAGATACCTCCTGTTGCTTCTCTAAAAAAACAAAAAAACGAATTTGTCGGGTCTCCAGACCTCGTTTTGTTTCTAGATTCCGCGCAGAACGCGCCGCACCTTTGTTTTTTTACGGAAGACGGTGGTCTGCGGACCCCGTTATTTATCGAGGATCCGAGATGGGGGCGAACTTTCCTCGAGCGGGCACGCGACAAACGCACTTGTTCAATTGAAAACTCACACATTAACTGGTAAATCATCGCCGAATAACTCAGCCGGCCCACCTCCCGTCGCCCCCAGTGGTAAAACCAATTAAAAGAGAACCCTGGGCCCACGCCCTTTCCAGGAAAAAGCTCAAGCTCAAACCGCTCAAAGACATATGGGGCAACTCCTTTTTTCCACATTGCAGGAACATGAATCTGACGAAGGCCTCGAAACGTCTTGGCCAGAGGTTAAGGTCGATGCACACTCTCACTCCTCCCCGACTTTCCCGGATTCGGAAGTTCACTCGGGCTGGGTAGGGGGGGGGGGGGGCATTGGTTGTGCCCGAACGCAGCCACGCTGGAGGCCGTGAGAGCCCTGACTACACAGTGGGCGAGCTCGGGCGGCTAAGCGGCAGCTGGACGGGCACGGGCGCCCCCCTCAAGTTGGAAGTGAGGGCGGCCCGATAACGAGCACAGCCCACTCCGACCACTACATTTCCTTCGCAGGTTCTTGACATCATCAACCTCTACGGGGCAAAGCATCAAGCGAGCTGGCTTCTTACACTGGGCTTTGAATTGGCACTGGCCTAATTCAACAAGGCTAACATGTGGCAGATTGGCGTGGGCCTGGATTTCACGAGTGTGCCACAGACGCGAGGTGAGCGGATGCGCAAGAACTGCAGGGGTCTTGAGCTGCTGGAAAAGGGCGAACAGTCCCATGCCGGGTCGAGCGATCTCGCTGCCTGTCCTGTTTTTGTCCACGTCTGTCGCAGTGAGGAATTGCCTGGGCAAGCACAGGGCTGGTCATGGGAACGCATCTTCGCCGTCCTATCACGGGCCACCGAGAATGTCTGACATGACGGCGCAGGAGCAGCAGCTAGCATTACTCACTGCGTGGAGCTCCCCATACGTGGATCTCTGTAAAAAGATCGCTTGTATTTGGGATATGCAAATGAGCGTCTAGCCATATGGGCATTATGTGGATCTCATGTTGTAGGATAGTGCCATGGTGCGCGCCCATGTGAGCGACGAGCACACGCGCGCGCAGCTCGGCTGCACATTCAACACATGTACACATTCATTCGCATGCATATGTTAGCGCATTTGCTGCCAAGGCAAAGAATTCCACTGGCACCTCAAACGCTGCGCCTTCGTGCGCAGTCCCCTTGTAGTACACGGCGCTGATCTGCTCCTTGTTCACGTCTTTCTCCTCCGAAGGATCATTGCGGAAGATCGCGCGGTAGGGTGTGTAGAACTTCTTCACAATCACGCCGTCGACCAGCAGGACGGTGGCCTCCGAGGCCTGGTCCAATACCAGCGCCAATTTCACGAAGATCAGTCTGGTGGATGCGGGCGCCAAGGGAACCGCAAGCTTCATCGATGCCCGGCGGTCTCCTTGGCCTTCTGGTCGTGGCGATCCCGCTGCTCCTTTGCAGCACATTGCTCCATGGAGAGCTCCGTGCTGACAGCGATCCGACAGGCTCGACCGAACATGCGCATCGCCAACTTCTGGAGCCGGGGGACCGGGATCGTGTTGCCCTCAGTGGCTCCGCTGCCTGGGATGTGGAGCGTTTCGATGACCTCGTTGATCTCCTCAGACTTCATCTCCCCGATGAACCTGCAGTGCTCACCACCTGTCCCCCCAAACTACTGCAACATGGCCGCCTGCACCTCTGGGTCGATGCCCGCTCACTCCGAGACGCTGTCGATCGTCGTGAAGCCAGTGACCTGTTCCGCAGAGGGTTCGACACCGACACTGGCCATGGCGTAGCAGGCCTATGCCCACTATAGCTGCCGGGTAGAGCGTAAGCGTAGGCACAGGCCTGCAGTTCGTTCTGCGCGACAGATGCTTGAAATAAAATGGCAACGGACAGGGTTGACCCGGTGATCGTTTGTTTCTCCCTGAGTGTCTCAGCACGGTCCCGCGGCCCCCCCACCAGCCCTATGCTGTTCCATATTTTGAGAAACGAAAGTGAGACTTTCTATGCCACGGCTTTTTGCGCCGACGGCCTTCAATAGGCCTTACATCTTTGGGTTAGGTGAGCTACTTCACACGTGCTCCCTGATCCGCGTTGCCCGCCTTTGGTGGGCATGTGGCCTGCAGCTGCTCGAATGCTGCTGCGCGCTCCCGGCTGTGACTCCCTAGTGGGGCCCTAGCGCGGACTCCCGATCCGATCCGATCCTCCTCCTCGTCTGCCTCCCCCCTTCCTTCTCCTGCCGCTCTTCCCCGCTCCTCCTCCGCCTCGCCCACCTGAGCCTCACCACCGAGCGGGTCGCTCTTGCCGAAAGCGTGCGCAGCCACAGAATTTAGTGTGTGCACGCTGGCAGAATGTACGTCAGGCCCATGAACGAGAGTTCGGCTTGCCGCCTTGGTGGGCCGCGCATGCCCCGCATGGTAAGATTTCTGCGTCACGTGCAGGCGGGATTACATATCTGTTATGATGTGAAGATATGTCGGTGAACATGCAGCGCATTCTACACGCAAAACGAGTTGGCTCGTAGGCGTAGGCGTGTCCACTGGGCATTCCTTTCAACGGCCTACTGGTTGGGTTGATGCTACAGTGCCAGGCGCCGTGACATTCGCGTCTGCTGGAACGGGCCATGCTAGGCACCTGCTGGTTTGATGCATACCCGCAGAGCGTCTCTCAGTTCAGCTTGGGAGTGGAAGCGCTGCTTAACATTAAACATCGCTCTGTGCACCTTGGTGGCAAATGTTTGCAGAAAAGCATGGCCCTGTAATAACCTTGCGGGCCGAACGATGCTCAGTAGTGCACACGGATGCCCAACGATGTGTCGCATGCAACGCACAACATGCTCCCACTCCCCCGGGTCACTCCTACACTTCTCCTCGTTTTCATCTTCCTCCTCCCTCCAGCTTTCCTTATCGTTATATACCTTTCTCCTCCTCCGCCTTTGCTACTGTCTCCTTGCACAATCATCCCTGTTTCGTTATGTTTCCCTCTTGTCTGTCTCTCTCCTGCTATGCCGTGTCCCTCCTTGTCCTTCCCCGCTACCCTGGCGAGAAAAGGCTGTGAACTTCCGACGCGTGCGCCGCAGCCTCCCTCAACCAATTCCGATCTCTTTGGACGCACATTCGTATAGCCATGATGCAGCGCCCGTTTCTGGTTTCACCCTCTTTGCACCTCTTCATTGTCACTCGCTCTCCTTTCGTCCACATCTGGAAGCCTCCCAAATCGGGCCAGAGCAGATGGGGTCGCAGGACCGCGCTGCCGATGCCGGCCATGTGGCGCGATCCTCCGACCCCATCTGCTCTGGCCCCACCTGGGAGGCCTCGAAAGGTTGCCGACGCACAGCCTCCTCCGCGGCGGTTTCGGCAGGGCCCTTCCCGTCATCCCCCCTCCAGTGCGCCGCGGCGGCCTCCAGGGCCTCATCGAGCGCCCTGTCTACAATGTCTGCCTCCTCCGACAGTTGTGTAGGTGCTCCATGGCGGGCCGCCTGGCGCGGCGGCCGCAAAAAATAGGAGAGACAGAAAGAGAGAAGGACACACCGGACATACACATGTACAGAGATACACACAAGACTGCATTGGCGTTCCGCGCCACGCACATTGGCCCTTGGAGTTTGAAGTAAAACATACAACGCCGATCCCCGCTTGCAGGGGGTGAGAAGGCGTGTGGGATGATTGGCTATCCCCTTCCCTCTTTCCCCCTCCCCGAAGAGTCGAACGGGGTATGGCAAGCCGTACCATACATTGCGGCGATAGCGTACGATGGTATCCCATAGCTTATCCATGCAGTAGGAGCAGAGCAAGTGGGTAAGAGATACGGTCAGAAAGTGCATCGTCGAAAGATGTGGACGTCTCCCTTTCCGTTCCTAGATGCAACGGCACCTCGCAAGCGAGGAAAGTCCGACAGAGCGGCGCCGCTTGAGATACAAACGGCGGCGGACGTAGACACGGTGCTTGCTATGCTCGCTTTTGACCTCCTCTCAAGATCTGGAGCGGGGCGGGCAGCCAAGAACGAGCACCCTTACACTTACTAACGCTGTTGTTGTCGTCGTCGCCCCGTGACCCGACGCGCAACCCAACTCGCGACTTATCCCGCGACCCGCTCCCGACACACCCGCGACCCCCCCCCCGCCCATCCGCAACCGACCCGCGACCCGCGCCCGCGACCCACGCCCGCGACCCACTCGCAACCAATCCACACTTAATTGTAAACATTTGCCTGGCGAAGGACCCATCCGCATGCAGTTGTGAGTGCCGTCGTTATGCACCGCATTCGGAGGAGCTCCCCATAGGGCCACGAGACGTGTGAGTGGTGTGCCGAACATGCGCGCGGTGGGCGCGTGCGAACGCAGCCACCAAGGCCGTCGGAGGGGCCCCCTATGGGGCCACGAAACGAGCGAATGGGGCGCACCAAAACAAATGCGCGCGGTGGGCGCAGCCGGCGGGGTTTCGGTGGAGTTCCATATGGGTCCATGAAGCGTGTGAGGGGCGTGACGAAATTGCTGCGGTGGGCGCGTGAGAACGCAGCCCCTGGAGCCTTCGGTCGAGCTGCTTATGGGGCCACGAAGCGTCTAAGGGGTGTGCCGAAATGACTGCGGAGGGCGCATGCGAACGCGGCCACTGGGGCCGTTGGTGGACTCCCTATGAGTGGGGCCACGATGCGTGTGAGGGGTGTGTCGAAAGGGGCGCGGTGGGCGCGCGCGAACGCCGCCACTCGGGCCTTCGGCAGAACTGCCTATGGGGCCACGAAGCGTGCAAGTGGCGTGCCGAAATGACCGCGGTGGGCGCATGCGAACGCAGCCGGCGGAGCCTTCAGTGGAGCTGCCTATGGGGCCATGAGGCGTGTGAGGGCCGCGCCGAAATTACTGCGGTGGGCGCATGCGAACGCAACCTCTCGGGCCTCTGGTGGAACTGCCTATTGGGGCGCGAAGCATGTGAGGGGTGTGCCGGAATGGGTGCGGTCAAGCTAGCCAGCTCGAGCGAGTCAAGCATGACATGCCGATTCCCACCCGTCCTCCCACAACATGAGAAACAGTGATGGAACAACTGGGGGCTGCGCGGGCATTTCAGTGCGAGTGGAGGATACCCCAGGACACCGCATTGACGTCCGCGCGGGATGTTCGCCGCGTCCCACTCCCGCCGCGCATTTCGCATCGTCGACGACAAGACAGGCCATGATGAAAGGAAAAACGACAACTCTGTATTGTTTTTTACAATCGGGATGGGAGGGCCCGCAGCCCGCATAAACGTCCGCGCGCGATGTGCGCCGCGTCCCATTCCTGCCATATATTTCGCACCGTCGGCGACAAGGCAGGCCATGCTGAGAGGAAAAAACGAAGATTTCGTATTGATTTTTTACTGTCAGGATGGGCGGCCCTGGATTGACGGCCGCGCGCGATGTGCGCCGCGTCCCATATGCGCAGGTCCCGGGCCAGCCCGACGGGCCAGAGGCGTGCTAAGATCTCCGGTAACTAGTTAACAATCTTTTAGTTTGCGCGCGCGCGGGGCGGCCCCTGGGGGCCCCCGGACGAAAAGAACTCCGAGCAGGTCCTGGGCACGTCGGTCCCAGCGATGGTTTTCTTCTTCGGCGCTGACTTCCAGGTCCCAGAGCGCCCCAGGAACGCCCCAAGAGAGCCGAGACGCCCCCGAGACGATCCGAGGGGCCCTGAGTCGCCGAAAGATCGCTCCAAGACGCCATGATGGCCTCTAGACGGCCGTAGCGCCAAGAAACCGCGGGGAGCCTCAGGAGGCCCTCCAAGAGCCTGAACAAGCAAAAACCCAGGCATTCGTCACCCCAGGGCCTCCTGGAACGCCCCGGCGCCCAATGAATTGGCGAGCTAAAAAAACGTGCGCCGAGCCAAAGCGGGAGCGCAACTTTGAGAAAATTTCGCTCGGCGCCCAAGCGGGAAGGTCATTCCATTCACTTCGAGCGGGGGGGGGAGGGGGGTGTGCCGCGCCCAATTCTTGCCATGCACTTTTGCGGGGTGGACGACAAGAACAGCTGTGTGGGCAGGGAAGAACAGCATGGCATTGTTTCTGACAAGTAAGGTGGCCCCTCCCGCCTTGGGGTTGCCCCAGGAGTCCGCGCGCGATGTGCGCCGCGCCCCATTCCTGCCCCGCATTTCGCATCGTCGACGACAAGACAGGCCATGATATTAGGAAAAACGGCAACTCTGTATTGTTTTTTTTACAATCAGGATGGGAGGGCCCGCAGCCCGCATGGACGTCCGCGCGCGATGTGCGCCGCGTCCCATTCCTGCCACATATTTCGCACCGTCGGCGACAGGACAGGCCATGCTGAAAAGAAAAAACGGAGACTTCGTATTGATTGTTTACTGTCAGGATGGGCGTGCCGGATTGACGGCCGCGCGCGATGTGCGCCGCGTCCCATATGTGCGCCGCGTCCCACTACTGCCACATATTTCGCACCGTCGGCGACAAGGCAGGCCATGCTGAGAGGAAAAAACGAAGACTTTGTATTGATTTTTTAGAATCAGGGTGGGCGGGCCCAGATTGAGTGCCGCGCGCGATGTGCGCCGCGTCCAATTCCTGCCACGCTTTTCGCATCGTCGACGACAAGAAAGACGATGTTGAGAAGAAAAACGGCAATTTTGTATTGATTTTTTACAGTCCGGAT